ATATATCATCATCATCATCATCATCCGGTGCCTTGCCGACTGGCGTGGGCGATCATGGACCTCCACTTCACCTTGTCCTGCGCTGCAGCAATGGTGTCTGTTGTTCTTGCTGCTCCCAGCCATGTTGTCATCTTGTCCAGTATCTTTTCCTTCTGTCTGCCTCAACCTCTCTTTCCGTCAAACTTGCCTGTTGTTACAATATTCTCTAATGCTTCTCTCCGCATTGTGTGTCCGAAGAAAGTTGCCTGTCGTTTTCTTATATTCGTGATATATATATATAAATACAGTAAAAATTGTCCTAGAAGACATCCCATTGTCGAGGGGAAAAGTAGTTGTCTCAGGCTGGAAGTCTTGTTCAATGTCATTACAATATTATAGAAGAAACGCGAGTAGGGTAGATGGAATTTAAGTGGTCGTTTGTTTAGTCTGTGCAACGACGTCTGTGGTGTGCAATGTAATGGTTAACTCTATCCGTACATCCTGCCTGGGGTCATTTTGTACCCGCGGGGTTGTATTCTTCACATTTTAGAATACTTCTAGAACGATTATCTCTTTGAAACTTTCAGTATTTCTAAAACAAATCATTTTAACAGACTGCTATGTAAAGCGTACGGATCGAATTAACGAGTAAATTTCCTCTTTGGAAAGTGGTGGCGCAGAGTTCCCCACGTCGTATGGATACTTTAATGTTGCATGCAGAAAACATGAATCCCATTCCCGGATGGGTAAGGTTTAGATTTGTTGTCCCCTTCAATTTGCTGGGATTTTGTGCGCCACTTAGTCCTGATTGTTTCTGGCAGGCAGGGGCACAGCACAGCTGCATGCTGTTTAAATGATTTTGTCGCTTTGAAGGACAAGCGGGCTAACCCAGATTTCGGGGGTTTCCGGAAATTTGACCTACCCCCAAAGTGGACATTGCCCTACCTATAGGAGAAGTTTGGTTTCAATGGTGTGTATATTTGTTTGGTTATAGAAAAAGCTCTTCTTGTCTTTTAAAGCAACTGAACAAGGGGCAAAAAGTTTACCTCCGATTTTCTTAAAACAGCATTTCGGGATAGCCCCCTTGTGTTTAAAAGCGACCATTTCATTGGGTCAATTCGCTACTTAAGAATTACAAAGTTTAACAACACGCACGCCAAGCTGATACGAAAGCAACTCTTTGAATAATTATCCTGATAACGACCTTGAACAATCTTAAGATTATGATAGAGCAGTTACAACATTTGTTTTCTGACAACATGGTCTCAGTAACTCAAAACAGCCCAAAAAGTCAGATCATCATTTTCTTTCTCATCCTGGATCAGGATGTACTCGTAGGCCACGAACAAACACTTTCCACCTTTCCCTATCCTGGGCGAGTCGCTTGATGTCACTTCATGTCTTCCCACTTTTCTGTTCCTCCATTTCAGTGACTCTTCTCCAAGTTCCACGTGGACTTCCTCTTGATCTTTTACCCTGTAGGTTCCAATCTAGCACTTTCCTTGTTTGGCAGCTGCTTGACTTTTTGAAAGTATGTGCAATCCATCGCCAACGTCTTAATCTTCCCACCTCATCTGTGACTGGGCTCTGTCTCGTCCTTCTTAATAGATAGATTAATGTCAGATAGAACTTTATAATTCTCAGGTAGTGAATTGGGGCAGTAAATTAATTTCAATCACGTACATTCATTAGTCAGTGCGAGTTATATTATACAACCCGTCGTAAGTCGTGATATTACAGCGTCTTTATTTACGCCTTTGAATAGACTACTCTTACACTACTTGAGCTGGCATCTGCTTTAAATCCGTATATGACTAACTTTGTTTTCTAAAAAAAAACACCTCAAAAAACTGAAATGATAATAAATACATGTAGTTTGTAATCTTTATTCCCGTGTCTCTTAACTGTCTCACGTGACTTTATTCGTCGCCTCGCTAGACAGTTTTTTTTACCAGACCAGTTTATTCAAATTCACTAACGCCGTGTTCTTGTAGAGTGGTTCTGAGGACTTGCGCGTAAATAGTGTTGTTCGGGCTCTCCAAGATGTTCACCTGCTTCCTAATTGCCCGTTAACCACTCCCACTCGCCCAGAGCAGCTTTTGACTCTATTATTGTGATTGGCTGCAACACCTGGTATAAAACACTCTGGGCTATGTGCTCAGCCGGCCGTGGGCTGTTTTTTTGGTGGGGTTTTTAATGCTATGCACGCTTGGGTAAATACACTCATACATACACATGTGTACACACACACACACACGCGCGTGCATATATGTGTATATA